CGAAAAAAATTAGAAATTAATTAGATTAATATATATTAATTTCAAGATGAACAAAAAGAAATATGGAAAAAATGGCGATAATCCAGGCAAATGAAATCATTATTTCGTTGCTGGATTTTATATATTTATACGTACAAACATATATCTTACCTTTTGTTTTAGGCTTTACCTAAGAGGTTTCTTGACGATCATCTTCGTCGACCGCTTCAACATCGTCATCGGCCGCTTCACCATCGCTATCGACATACTTGGCTCCGGAAAATGAAAGATAGACCTGAAAAAAAATTTAATTATTAATTATTACGAAAAATAAAATAATAAAATTATTAACTATTATATATATATATATAATCGAAAATATATCGAAAAATGGTAATTAATTATGATAATAATACAATAGATAGGGGCATCGCAGCAAGAAATAAAAAGATAAATTTATTTACATACAAAGATTAAATAAATGTATATAAATTCTGTATACTTTATAAAAAGTGTAATATTTTTCAATAAATTTTGTAAACTTCTTATTTTTTTAAATATTATTGCATATCAAAAAATATAACAAAAATTATTTATATAAACTTTATTGATGTATATTTTTTCAGCATGATTCAAGCAGGTTTTAATTCAATAAACAAAATGCTCAGATACAATATAATCTTTAGATATTTTATATTAGTCTATATCTTTAAATATAGATAAAAATTTTAGCGTACTTACTGAAGAGGAAGACGGCGAGGAAGATGGTTGCTAGAGGCAAATGCTCTACCTAAAAGGCTGTTTGGTGGGCATCTTCGTCGGCTGCTCCAGCATCGGCATATCTGGCCCTGGGAGTTGAAATTGTTAAATTTGAAAAAAAATTAGAAAAAATATTTAATTTAATAAAATTCACGCGCGATTACGATATATAGAACGCGATATATGAAAGTAAGTCGATACAAATCACGACAAATTAATAATTTTCTTCGATATTAAAAATTTTAATTTTACAGGCAAATTTATATTTTAACTCACAAATTAATTACTAATATAATAATATAATAATAATTTTATTAATTCTAAAAAGCTAAAAGTACTTTATGTCAAATTCATGAATCTCGAATTGTGTTAGATTTATTAATTTTTAACACAGCTGATCCATTCAATTCCTCCTTATATTAATTAAGGAAATTGTTTATTTTAATATATATAGTCTGAAAAAATATTTTAAGTATAATTTGTAGATAAATAGATTGAGGCGGTGTCCCAAAATTCACTACCAGTACTGAAAATGTATAATTCACTTTACATATATTATAGATTTCCAGTACTCTAGCAGTAAATTTTGGAACACAGCCTTGGATTGTACATGTAGTCAAAAGATAGATTATTATTTACATAAATATATATATATATAAATATTGGATGTTTATTTCATATATAACATTTATGTCTTTTTTTATTTCTAGCAACAGATCGTCCAAAGATCACTAGTAATTTAACAAATATACAATCATCGATAAATGAAGCTGAACCATTGGGACAGAACAACAGCTCAAAAAAAACAGAATGAACAACAAACGGAAGATGAAGAAGAGAAGGCAAATCGTGAGCTACGGAACCGCTAGTCAACTAATGACATTGCAAATTGTGAAATATACATCTGTTGAATATGCAATACATTCAATCATTTCATCGCGAGATTATGCATAATGTGATTACTGTATAATTTTTATTGTAATAAAAAATAATGTTCCAAAATTCGTTCTACTTATTTACATATTTATATTTTATCACAATCTCGCATATAAATATAATAAAATGTTTTTGTATCTATACACAGTTTTTGTATCTACACTATATACAATTTGTTAGCTATTTTAATTTATTACATTCTATATATAAACTTTAAATAATCAAATAGTATTTTGTACATGAGCACATGACATTCTCTCTTTTAATCCGTAATTAGATAAATTATTTAAATGTGCTTTTATTTACTAACTTTTAAAATTTTAGTTTCATTGACAGTTTTTATTGTAACACATTGTCATCTTCAATATATACAACATCTTGTTCTTGAGAAATGCTAATTAATTCTTGAGTGTTAAATGTAGATATGTATTCAGAATCGTCCTGTAATTGAGTCATAGGATAATTCGAAGTCGACGATTCCAACCAGTTCCAAACTTTTTGATGGGTTCCTGCAGTTTTAGGTACTGGTACTTCTTCACGTATTTTCCAAACTGCAAGAAGTTCTGGTGCTAATAAATCAATGTACGATCCTAATGTAGCCAACGATTGCTTCCAGGATGGCTCAAAAAAGTCGTTTGCATCCTTTTTATTAGATTTTAAACAAAGCTTTTTATTCGTAAAATCTATAAAAATATTTTCATAATTTACATTATATAGAACAATTGAAAGAATATACTTAAATATATATTTTCTTACTTTCATATATATGTCCCATGTTACATTTGTTGGAAAATGTCAGAGGTACTAACGGCTCGGCTTGAGCTGATAAAGCTTTTACCCACATATTTAATGCATAACAAGATTTGCTATTTATGGGAGAATATTTGTCCAATGTGTTTTCATGTGTTATACGTTGATAAAATATGTCGCCTAATAATAATGGAAAGATATTTTAACGTTTAGGCATCAGCAACGTTTTAAGATATTAATAAAATATAAGAAAATATATTAATTGTACCAATCGAGTTTTGATTAAAGTAGAACACTTCTCCTTTTTTTGTACTTGTGATTAATGTGCTACCAGTGTTACACAGTTCAAATCTACTTCGTAAATATGGATTCAAGCACGTATACATGTATGTATACGTATGTATGTGTATGTATATACATATGTGTATGTGTTGTATGTTATGTGTTTGTGTATGCAATTAAAAACGTGTATGTAAATATAAAATCACGTTTTTAATTGTATAATTTATTGAAAATTGGAAAATGTCCATAAATAAAAGCGCGCGCCTATATTGTTCTAGTCATGAGATAAATAATAAATGTTATACAAAAAAAATTGTTTCTATATAAGAAAAGAAGAAAGAAAGAGGCGACGGTAGATCTTCGACATCTTTTAAATTTAAAAGAGACGATGCTAAAGATTATTGCATTTTATTTAAATAAAATAATTTTTTAATTTTTTGTTGGATTATATAGTAATGATTTTATCATTATTATTCCGACAGATCATCGTGTTCAAGACAGTCCTGAAAATAAAGAGAGAGAAAGAAACAAAATTCCACAAAACTACACAATAGCCGCGAACGATTGTCTGCCCTATGTGGATCTAATTGTCACTTTTATTGTTAGTTTTTACTTGAATATATGATACACACTAAAAAAACCTCACAAAAGTAAAAAAATACTCCAAGTATATAAAAAACCTCAACTTGTCTTTCTTTCAATCTTTCATGAGAAAGCGTCTACCGTATGTGTTCCCATGCAGCAATCGGATCAGATCGGGCTTCGTCGGGAAACGGTTTTTTTTGGACCTCTCACAGATTGCTGAGTCGGCGTTTTGCACTCCGTGCCTGCTAAGATGTCCTCCTCAGATGATATTGACGATGGCAATACTATCGGTATATCTGGCTGATCCAAGCTTGCCGCGCCGTTAAAAACTCTTTAACTTTCGCGGAGACTAAAAGAAGTTTAAATTTATAATTAAAAATAATCATAAATAATATATTTAAATAAAATAACAGGATATCCTACATGTATGTCCTGGATGCCCTTTGGACGTCCTAAGGACATCCTTGTGCTGTCTGGGTTGGGTTTAATAGCACTCAAAGCGATCAAACTTACTACATTCGAAAACGCTAATAGTTACCGGTAGGGTCACTCATGCCGGACAGGTCGAAGGGGAAGAGTCAGACTAAGAGAGACACCGTAATTATTATATATTTATTATATTAATATTTTTAAATAAAATAGAAGCAAAAGAGACAGTAATTGAGAGAATAGAGAAATAGAGGCCCCAAAATATTTTTGTACCCCCCTCGGGATTTAGAAATATCTTGATATGTGATATGACAAACGAAAAATCGATTTCTAAGAAACAGAAATCTATTCTACTAAAATTTTCCTATAGTTTTGTAATCTTTAATTTTTTTACAGAGTTTTAATTATTAGCAGCATTAATTAATTCTTTCACGGTAATAGGTATACTGTCAGCTATACTGCTTTATACGACATGCGAAAAATTATGATTTCCGAAACTCGGAGATCTATTCTATTATAATTATTATATTTTCCTATAGTTTTAACCGTATTCTTTCGAATTCATGTAGTTTTAATCATTAATACGCGGCTCAGCCATTATAAGCTTTTATTGATATAAAGTAATGCATAACGCAATGTCGAGATAATCAATCAGCATCGCGGAAAAGAGGCAATAACTTGATATTTGCGAGTACCGATCTAACAATTTTTCTTTTTTAAGAGTGGATATTGCACAAATATGTATTGAGCAAAAAAAATAACCCACCATTTTACGCAGTCGGTAGGACTCGAACCTACGCTCCCAGAGGGAATCTGATTTCTAGTCAGACGCCTTAACCACTCGGCCACGACTGCTACGTATACTTATTCGTACAAACTGAAAAACTTACATACGAACAAATTTCTAATACATCATAAATTTTATATTAAATATGATAATTAATACATGATGGTAATTAATAGATGACACGTGAAATATTCTGATATATTAAAGCTCTCAAATAAAGTTTTGAAAAATAGGGAAAACTTTTGTATATTTATTAGTCGTCAGATATTTTTTTAAGCCTTTTATTCGAGATCTGATACATTTTTTACATACTGTAAAACAGTGCTCGGAGATAGTTGCCCTTTTCAGGCCGATTCCGTGGCTCACGCCTATTGCCCCCCACTCACCGCTTGTGCGTTAGCGACGAGTCGTCTCAAAATTAAAAATTTTTTCTTCAATATTTTATATTTCATTGATATAACATATTGAAGAAAAACTTTTATTTATAGAAAAGTATTGTCTTATTATTATATTTGGGCATTCTTATATACGGACGCTCCTGAGACAAAGCGTCGCGCTCCTTAGTTACGCGTATCTGGCGACTCGTCGCTAACGCACGAGCGGTGAGTGGGGGGCAATAGGAGTGAGTCACGGAATCGGCCCGAAAAGGGCAACTATCTCCGAGCACTGCTGTAAAAGACAATAATCATCAATTTCTTTATGGTTACTTGTTAAATTATTTTAACCATTGTTACGCGCGCGCGGGTGATCTTCATATATGAGACTACCTCGGCAGAATCAGGCGTACGCGTTTAAATTAAATGCGGGTATGGGGGTACGATATATACAGACGGCATGCGTCGCGCATATACACGACGTTGATCGATCAACCTATTCTTCGCGGAGCTCCCGTACGTGCCGTATAGCGCAGAAGCGTGGTGAACGCACGGCAAGCCCGATCGCCGTCGATTGTCACCCCAGTTTGCCCGACTTGGCTCGGTGACGAGCACGTGGTGCGTGCTCACATCCCGCATGCGAGCACCACGGTATCCGAGCAGCACGTGGCGACAGGAGCCAACATGAGATGGCTCGCTCTCCCTACGTTGAACAGAGTTTCGCGCGGGTTGTCTCGCCGAGCCCCTCCTATCACCAGGAGAGCACTCCACGCAAAGAGGCTGTTCTTCCAGACCGGCTCAGTCTATTGCGATATTCCGTCATACCTTGACTTTCGCCCGTGAGGAATTTTTTCAACAGGAACGCATGCGGCCGCCTGTAATTTCGTGACGCCACCGATAGAAGCGCTAGTGTCAACAAGCTGCCGGCCTACCTATGTGTACACGCACGATTATGTACAGGGTGTATCGCGAAATTACACGAGGACGTGATTTCGTACGTGATGAGCGTTAGAAAGTGCATGTAAACTCAAAATAACTTGATAGAGCTAGTATCGATGTGATTTACGCCATGTGAATATGCAACTGTCAAAAAAATGCGTATCTCGTTTTTAATATTTTTTTATGACAATATGAATACAATAAGATTTTATATATTAACGTGTAATTGTTCAAATTTCGATATAAACCATGAAACTTTGTAATAGAAGCAGATACAAGAGATATGTAAAGTTTTTTTCTAAGATAAAAGAAGAAAAGAATTAAAAAGATGAATTATTAAAAAGATGAAATTTTAAAATTTAAGAACTCAACGAACTTTTATTAAATCTAATAATTAATACTTCAATCTATTTTATTCATGATTCATATAGATTGCACAATTCCATTATCTACCGCTTTGTTCGCGATTCATGGACATTGTCGCTTACTCTAATGTCACGAGTCACCCTATATATACGTATACATACACATCGCCCCTTTTGCAGGTAGCGATCCCCACTTGGACGTGCATCGCCTTTAATTTTAGGGGAAAACGTAATAACGTTCGATCTTATATTTGGGATATAACTGTCTCGTACCCTGCGGGATGCGCAATGACGCGCGTACGACATATAATGACTCGACGAAGCTCTCGAACAATCGTGGAAGCCACCGAAGCCGGGCGTTCGCCGGTGTCGAGGGGGGAGAATCGCCTCGTAATATTAATGCCGATTTTGGGGAAAAACGGTGTCACTGTCCCGCGAAGACAGTCTGTCCTGACGGCATTTAGGGCGGCTCCACGAGGCGGTCGTTCGACGCGACGTCGCGCGCACGAATCCTCGACGGGCGGTCGCAGCTTGGCATGAGCGCGCCGTCCGGGCGGCCACGGGCCCGCTAACCCTGCCGAAATTTCCGTCCACTCCGGAGTCAATGAACCAATAAGCAGTGGAAAGAGATCGCCGTGGACCAATGGGATATGGCTGAGTCGTGGCTGCGCTTAGGGCCCGCGCGGCTCTTCCTCAAAATTGTGTCTTTCCGATCCACGGCGAACAGGAGGTGACGGGAGGTGCGAGCGCGAACGTGGACGCGACGTTCGTCGCGACCGGATGCCTTCTGCGATGTCCTGCGTTCCTGCTCGCCGCTCGGTTAAATTGTTGATTATGTCCATTCTGCCCGTTGACTGCAGATTACGTGTGGGCCACGTGTAAATTAGCGCGTGTGGAAAGCGGGGGAGGAACATCATGCGTCGAGCCAGACTAGACGTGCCGCGAGAACTTTCGTATCGAGGTTGCCTCTCGAATGGTTAGGTTTCACTACCGTCTTAAAGGGACCCATTCGTAACGTTCTGCCGCTACGACGTGGTGCATGTCTCTGGCAATTATTGATATATCGACGAATATTGCATAAATGTAGGCATTGACAACTCTGAAACGTAGTATTATTGTATACAGCGAGTAGGATAAATATTATCCAAAAAGAATGTTTTGATTAATACCTTGCTTATCCGTCAATTGGCGCATTGAAATTAAAAGTACATGGATAATCGTATTATTTATTATTCCATAAATGTGCCGATAAAGATTTCCACCTTTCATTTATTAATTATTTACGCATTTTGACATATGTCTTGATGTAATAATTTTAATCCTGAGTCTCGAAGAGTGATCTCTGCAACACATAAAAGAATATAATATCGTTCGACAAAGTGTATGTAAAATGTTTTTATTTGTCGATTGATATTGTGTTATAATCGCGCTCGCGATATCGACATGCAATCCTGTTGAGCGAAAAGCATTTCAGACGAAAGTAGGTACCATAGGTAATACAAGAACGCTGATGAAACTTCCTCGTTTCGCGTGCTAGCCTAGTACGAGGAGGGGCTAAATGAGACAACCCGCGCGAATGCTCAACTGTACGAGAAAGGAGAAAGGACGCCGTTCCTGCTTCCCTGATAATGTACGGCCTATGTGCGGGATGTGAGCACGCATCGCGTTTCATTGCGGTCAAGGAACAACGGCCATAAATGCGACGCGACGACACTTTCCCGATGTGTGCACGTACATACACACACGCGAAGAGAAAAAAATATTAACTCGTCTCTTGTCAAAGCATCGAGCGTCAGCGAAACGCGGAGGACGAACGTATTTCCATACGTGTTTCCATATGTGCTTCGACTTATTTTTTTTTCCAGCCCATGCGACGGATCGCGATAAATCCGTAGTCGCAGCCGCAGCAACGGCTTTCTTACGAAACTCGAAAATTTACGTAACTGTGAATTCATTTCACGACGATGGACGAAAATTATTTCGCTTTGCTCAAGACTGCATTCAGGGGTATAAATTCACATGTCACATCTTTCACAAGTGCAATCGACATATTAAAAAAAAAAATAAATGATATACGTAAAACGTGGATGTATTTCCTGTGTTACGTATCTCGACAAAAGTTTTACCTTTCTTTTGACCCCGACGTGATTTGAACACGCAACCTTCTGATCTGGAGTCAGACGCGCTACCGTTGCGCCACGGAGTCTAGTTATATCGATGTCTTTAGATCGATAACTAGTCTTTCCGACTGACAGATTATCCGATTTTTTATATCTAAAAGCGAGTTGTGTTTAATTAATTATGCGTTGCAAGAAGCTTTAAATAAAATTTATAGGAGAGGATAAACTTATATCACGAAAAACTATTACATATAAATATAAAAATAAAGAAAAAAACACTATTTTATATGTATATACAATAAGATCGTTTAACACACTATATAAAAAAAAAGTTAATGAATGTGATAAATTCAATAAATTGTTATATACCAATAATAATTTATATAATTTTTTAGAGTATATCTAGTAAGAATTTTTTTTAATGTGTCGCATATTGTAAATGTATGAATAATTATAGGAAATATGTGTGTATTATACCATTGACATTTTTAATTTTTTCTTATTTTTTAAGCAATACTTTATACAAGATACGATTTAATAAAGTATATATAATATTTATATGTACTATGTATTAATTACACATAATATGTAATATATAATATGTAATGAAATATACAGTAATAATAATGTGTATACGCGCCTGTAAAATATGCGATGACATGAAATGTTTTCTGATATTCATTTGCGATGTATTAACTGGTCGCCGATTTCTCTCGAGTTGTAGAGAACGTGTCAATTGGGCGTGGTCCGTGGTAGCATCTTTTAAATGAAACCTGTATCAGGATACTACGTGGCTTCGGAGCCTTCACTTCCGTTCTCCTTTTTTTTCGATACCATGATTATTATTACATCGGCCGTTCCGTTCTCCCCTTCGCCGTTTCATAAACGTTCAATAACGATCCCTTTTAACCGAAACGGGCAGGAATGGCGAGCCCCCGACGACAACAACGTCAACAGGATCCCATCTGCTCGCAAGAGCATTGAAACTCCGCGAATAAGCTTCCGTAAGGAGCATACGTTCTTTCGCTATGTATCTCGTAGATTGGAATCTACATCTTGTTCTCTCCTCAAAGATACGATTATTCTCGCTGTAAATAATATTCTTGTATATCACACTATACATATATATGATAAAACACAAGAAATTCTATTTATTAACAAAAGATAAAACAAAATTAATACCTTATTAATCGGAGTCTCTTCATATTTATATTAATCTTTTTGAGCATTTATCTTGATCAAAGATATATCATTTGATTTAAAGGTTAATTCTTCGGTTGAATAGTACATATTTTCTATTAGATCCTGCGCTCTCGAGATTGTCGCATGTTTCGCAGTAAAACTTCTTTTCCACAAAAAAATGGATCATCATGATTAATCAAGTTACGCTCAACTTACAAATTTAATTAATGTTTATATGCAAAATTGATTTATATGTATCGATAACTTTTTTCAACAGTAATACTCCGCCTGATCGACTAAACTCGTTTATATATTGAGAAAGTAGATGATCGCTCCCACAGATGTCGCGCGTACAGAATGTTCCTAGATTGCCACATGCTCGGGGTACCGCTACCTTCTTGCATGACATGTACTCCTAATAGGTGTGAACCACGGCGCCGCGTGCCGACGCAACCCATTGGACCTTCGAAGGAGACGCTACCACTGCGTTTCGTTAATCGTACCCCACGCGGTCGTCGCGCAGCTCGAGTGCGAAGCCGCAAGCGTGGGGTGCGTAGCTTCACACGCGCGGAACAAAAAAAAAATGGCAGCGGTGGGATTCGAACCCACGCCTCCGAAGAGACTGGTGCCTTAAACCAGCGCCTTAGACCGCTCGGCCACGCTACCGCTGTCAACTGATCGATTTGTTATTTAACTGCTTTTAACAGCATTTTCAGAAAAACTAGAGCAAGTTTAATCTTGTTCTTATTTTTACCTTGTGTGGAACAGATAGTGGAAAAAGATCTGAATCAGACGAGTAAAGCAAAACTTTATATCTAGAGAAACATAGCATGCAGTTTCTGAGAGAGAAACATAACTTCTTTTCTCTTTTTATATTTTTGTAGTGATAACATATATTACTTGCATAATGCACATAGCATGTGCAAATTTGAAACGTCATGCTGGATTTCTTAAAAGGATAGAAAGGAAATAAAAATGTAACAATTGTTTATGAAAAAGTGCAAGAACATATTTTGAATCAGACTTCAATCGTTAATTGATCGTTAATCGCATTTGCGTCATCCGCTATACGTCTTCCTGTAGATATGCCATGAATTGCATTCCAGTCTGAAGTAAACGGTGAGTAAGTGATTCACATATATAGAGGCGCCCCCACATTCACCAACATGGATGCGCATCTATCACGCATATATACGCAGCTCAACCGCGTTGGAGGGCACTCTTTTTGTGCTTCAGCTTGAGTCGGTGAAAAGCTGAGAGCTGTTGAGACGCGTCGCAAAATTTCGGAGAAGCATATACGACGAGTTACGCAAATTCGCCATGCCTGGACGCCCACTTTGGCAGGTAAGCGACGCGTTATTTTTCAAAATTGAAACAAGTATATACGAGTATATAGTATAATATGTATGAGATACAATGTCATGTTTTTTCCTAATCACATTTATCGTCTCAATCACATTTTAATTAAATTTTTTGCTTGACTATATTTGCTGTCAAGCATTTACTCATTGCGATTATTATTTTATTATATGTATATATCAGGGATATTTTTTATCTTCTCTCATAACTGAAATGTGTTATCTCTCTTTCTCTCTCGTGATTAGTTAGGTTTGAATATCATTTTGTTGGTTAGCTATGTATTAATATGATTTATTCTATGATTATTGTGTATATTCTACAATTACTCTTTTTAAATTGAAGATAACTTTTCTCACAGAGATCGAAACGTTTTAAAAGGTTATTTAATTTAATTAAAATATATATTACGAAAGTCCATAATATTGTACAATTTTATGATCGGTTGTTATGTTTTTAATATTGTTTTCTCTCTCTCTCTCTCTCTCTCTCTCTCTCTCTCTCTCTCTCTCTCTCTTACTTGATTGTAGTTTTGTTTATATTAAGGTTATCCATATCTTTCCCGCTTAATGAAAAACGTGACGATATATATAATGTGCTATATAAAATAACTGCATAAATATGAGTAAAAATAGAGAAATATTAAGAAAATTTAAAAATATAATTTTTCCTTGTGAATTAATAAATTAAAACAGAAAAATTCTATAATATATATATTATTATTTGTATAGCATATATACATATGTAATATTACAATATAGCAATATGCTTTTTGTCGTAGCTCTTCTAAAGTATAAATTATACTTACGTATAAAGTTAAAACTCACTTATAAACATTACAAATTATTAATACGATAAAAAATTATGTTTTATTTAATTTTGCAACAGAAATGTTATAAAATTGTATGTCGTAAATAAAATTTTTCAATATATTACGCTTATATATTTTGAACAGTTTCTGACATTTAAAACAGTGACTTTTCTATTTAGATACTCTGACTCAGTACGTCAATCTGCGAAAGTTTTGTAAATCCGCACATTAAAGCGCTTCTAATTTGAGAAACACTTTTGCATGAATCATCCAAAATTTATTGTTATTCATGTTTCTCTTACCAAAAGCAAACAAATAATTCTCAAGTACTATCACATGCTATCAAATAAAGTAAAATAGAGAAAAGTGCTTTTGGTATCAAATTCCAGAATAAGTAAATTTTTATGTAGCACTTTATATGTATATTATCTTATGAATCGTATTAGTAAAGTAATAATCTATATCGCGATAAAAACGTAATAATACTTATGAAAACTTATTCAAATAAAATATATTATTTAATTGGTAATAAAGAAGTAATTGATAATAAAGAATTCTCTGAGACAGACATAAAAATTGTTTTTCGGAAAAATTGATTTTGTTACGGAATAAACTGATATGGAGCCGTGATCACAGAGTCTAAAAATGGTTGCTGTGTATGCCGGTGATCCAGAAATAAACCGAAAGGCATTCGGATCTGCCAAGGAAAGCAAAAGTATATATGAATTAAATTTTACCAGAAACATACGGGAGCGCGTGCACGAGAGTTATCTTCCACGAAAAATCGAGAAAGTATGTCGCGATGACGCGATTGCGATTCCTCATTTATTTATAAACAGTAATGGATATTTTTATACCTGTGTGGGTGCAAAGATAAACAGGACGATGCGATGTAGAGTAGATCGTGATAACGCGCCGAAAAAATTTTTACTCCTGTAAATTGTACTTAATATGTGTTTAATTGTGTGTATAATTAATTAATTTCTAATAATTATTATTTATATATTATAATTTCTAATAATTATTATTTATATATTGTTTTACCAAGTTGTAAGACAAAAAACAAATTAAATTTTGTTTAGAAAGCAATAAATTATCAATTTCTTATATTTTGGTATTTTTGGCTAGTATTCTTTATATTCGTAAAATATATAACATCTTTATATTAGTAATTGCAATTCGCGTCAATGATATACTGATTCAAGACTTACTATCCAAAAAATAACTTCATTAACAGATAATGAATTATATGAGAAAGTATATAAGAAAAATAGTCATCGCGAACATTGCATGAAATTAGTTTAGTCCTAAATTGTGATGTCGATATTTCTTGCATTGTTACATTATTTTCCTATTATAATTGTTTTACATATTAGCCTACATTTTAAAAATTTATTTATATATTGTACGTTTTTTAACGCACATCTCAGAGTTAGGATAAATTTTATTATAGTATATAAACACAATTAACATACATATATATATGTATATAATATAAATGATAGAAGAGAATATATAAGATATAGAAAATAACATTGCTGTGTTTTTTAAAGATATATATACACACATATATATACAATATACATACATATATATAAAATTTATTGATTTATATGCATATTAATGTCTTTAATATAACCTTTAGATATTACAAATAATAATAAAGTTGTAGAAACTTATTAATTAATTTATCAATTTGTAAAAATAAAATATTGATACAATCAAATTAAATTATATAACCTATTAAATTGTCTATTGCAAAACATTACATGAGATTAACGCTGGTTTTATCATATTATAAACCTTAATAACTATTTTTATAAATATTCTAAATTTATAACTCTCGATTAGAAATTTTTGGTTTAATATATTTTTATACGTGTAATAGTGTAATGTATAGTATTGCGTGTATATATATGTGTGTGTATGTGTATGTATATGTTTGTATGTCAAATTGTGTTAATGTGCAGGTATATATAAAAATATGTATAATTATACATTTTTAGGGTATTTGCTTTTATTATGCATTTAATCTATTTAATATTTTGTTTAACATCATGTAATGTTAATTCAACATTTTATTTTAACCTGATTTGAAATATATGAATCCAATCGCGAATACTATGCATTATATATTTTTATTCGTGTATTTCATATAACAGTTACGTGTAATTGTGTAAAACTTGTTTATGTAAGTGTATATATGTGAATTCTAGAGTAAAATATGATTTCAAAGCGCTTTTTTGCATATCGGCAATGTATGATAAAAAATCTGGTACTTATATTTATATGCAAACTACAACTGTTAAGAATATAAAAATATATTCTTGGACGACTAAATAGAAAATTAATAATTAATGTTTTTATTATTGATATAAGATTATTTGATATAAGAAGAAAAAGATAAAATATATATATAATGTATTAACTGTTTAATATCAATATTCAAAGTATTGATTAAAAAATAATAATTATAGTTAATAAATATTGCAGAGATGCAATATACGTGATGATGTAAAAAAAACTTATAACATAGAGAAATACCAACACAAATTATTCAATCTCATTTATATCAATAATAATTATGACAATAAAGAATAAATAAATATTACTTAGGATAAAAATATACTTATTTAAATTTGAAAACAATAAAAACAAGTTTGAAAAATATTTCAAAAGCTTAATATTATTTTCACATGTTACGCGCGGTTAGAAAATGCAATTTATTTTGATGTTTTTATTGTGTCATACTCCGTGCTCGATAGTTTAACCAGTCATTATATAGTATTTAATACATTATATGCATTTTTTATTTAGACGTATGTATGTGTGTGTATGTGTATATGTATGTTTGCTTCTATAAAAAATTTACATATGCCGAGTATTTCCAAAGCTACCGAGACCGGCTTGGCTGGCACCCTTATTGTAACCCATTTGAAGATTCAAATGACCTTCGCTGGCACGAAGCTGTTCCTCGGTGAAGGTTCTCTTGTTCTCTTCTGCCATCTTCGGTCCTAAAGTTGGCCCATTCCAGTCATGTTTCTGAGTCTGTTGTATTGGTAAAAATTAATCAATTAAATTTCATGAATAATCAGAGTTATAAATAGGCTATACAGAAAATATTTCTGCTGTATGTCATTTTGTATTGCCATTTGTGTCATTTTCTATGAAATGGAAGATTTTTTGTAAGCTTTACTTTTTATATTATGTAGATTTAAAGTACGAAAAAATACAAAGTCTAGCATTTTTATAAGTAAAAATATAAATATAAACATTTTTTTTCACCGCGCATATATGTTTTATATTTTTTTTATAAAAGAAAGATATATTGAAAATAATAAATTTATTCCTAATATATTTAATCTTGTAAATAATTAATTAATTACTAAAAATTGAATACTCACAATTCTGCCCAGCGCGTATAGACAAAGAGTAACTTGTGGGATGTTACGTCTTTCGAAGAGATCCGCGGTTTGGAAAATTTCTTCTTGCGGTACACCGTAATTTTTAATCGCCGCTTGGAATCTATTGAGACAAAGAGGATATTATTATAAGTATTATAAAGTAATTGTTATATGAGAAGATGAAGAATTAGGTATATTATATAAAGATAAAGGAAACATTAAGATATAATTTGATATCGTTCACCTTTGAATATTTTCCATAAGTTGAAAATTTGTGCCTTTAGTTTGAATCTTCTTAACCGATCCGGGTGCAAGTTTGTTAATTAGGTTGCAAAGAATCACACCATCTCTCAAAATATCTTCGTAGTTTCCAGGAGGAAGTTTCTCGCCCAATACGGCCTCGATCCAGGCAAGAACTTCAGCCTCCTGTTCTTTGTTGCGACTCTGTAATATATATATATATAATATAACTATATATAGATATAAATTAGTTTTTAAATAGATGCTAATATACGGAACAATTATTTTGTTATTTTTTATATATTTTATTACGAGAATTGGGTCTAGAAATAGCATTTCTACAAAGAAACCCGACTGCATGCATTTTAAGCATTTTCTGTGAGCATAATTTAAAAATGGCTGTATCAAAAATAGATCGTACGCGGCAGTGTAGGATTACTCGCACGCGCGTAAAGTCCAACGAAAATAAAATACGATGTCTGAAATTTTGGCTTTTACGTAAACTGCCAAAACGATATTAAACTATCACTTTAAGCTGACACTTGTTTTGCTTGAATTTATGTATATTATATATTGTAATTTGATTCATACATTAAATGAATTATTTTTCGAAAAATAAGAAAGAGAGAGAGAGAGAAAGAGATAGAAGAATATAATATTTATTTCTAAGTTATATATAAATGTAAGAATATTTTGCGGTGTAATAAGAGATAATAGCAAATATAATTTTGTAAAAATCTCTAATTATAGTTTTAATCATATTGAAGTGCATTTTAAGCATTTATTATATAAATCTCTCTTACACATGAGAAATGTCTCACGAAAAACAAATAATGAGCATCTTACAATTAATGGCTTTCACGCTTTTAGAATTTCTTAACGTTTACATGATTCGATTTATGACTCGAACAGCTGACCGACGCAAGTGAATCTGGCACCATTCAGTCGAAGCAATAAATCAGTATTTATAGCGAAATTAAAGTACAATCTTTTAAAGCCGCAGATTCTGCGCAGAAACTGCGCGATAAATATCGTAGTCATCGTATAATAGTGACTGTTTCACGAACTTTCCGATTCGCTCAACCGTGTTATATTTTTGGAAGAGTGATGTTATTCAGTCAGATATATAATGGACTTGTGCAATTTGTAATAACATCGTGATCGTGTTTTAGAGAACAGCTGAATTGCACGAATACAGCAATTTCGATATATAGATTTAGCCAAGATGCAACACAGGTTTGAATGATGAAGGCGACTCTAATTGACTCTAATTGAGTGCACTATTTCTACGATACGTTCCACGATTTGCTTCTGAATAAATGCGCGTTTAACATGATTATTTTTGGTATTACGATTTTAACAGGGGACAGTATATTATATTTATTAAAAGTAAAGCTAAATAAACGCAAGGTACTATACTATTATTGCAAATAGTATAACCAAATTGGATCAACAAAATAAATATAACGCCCGAATCAGAGTGTCCTAGAACTAACAAAAAAATGAATTCTCGTTGATATTGGTTATACAATTAATAAATATTTTCGAATTCACTGCGTTACAAAACTATATATGAAATTTTTTTATTTCTTATCTACGACATGTCAGGCGTGGTCGGGGCAACGTGTTTCTCGTCGCATCCACTCGGGATGATATTTTAAGCTCCATTTTCAAAGAGAGCTTCCGTTCGGACGAATGCGGCCTCACCGCTTCCGAGGATGTTTTGCGAACGTGACGCGCAACGTCGTAATAAATCACTAAATTTAAAGTTAAATTAGGTGGGTCCGTACGATTTGCAACACTCCAGTGAATTAGCTGGCGATAGATCAAACTGCACACCTGTGCTGAAGACGCATTTCGACGTATTGTCAGGATGAATTGAACATTATAATCAAATTAATAATGTAAATATATATATGTATATATACAATATATATATTTATATAACTAATAATATAAGAAAAGAAAAAACTCAATTTTAAAACCTCTACAATTATTCTAATTAATTTTGCCATTGCTTGTTTTTGTTTCAAATCAAATATATAAAATATATATAACAAATTAACACGATCAATGTATTAATTTAGATGATAGGCAGCTTTAACTATTACGATAAATTGAATACTAATGTAATCTTTTTTTAAAATAATTTATTATTTTAGAACAAACTAATTGACCATTTGAGTCAAATAAACTGCAAATATATTGCAATCTCTTCTTAGTTAGATAATTACTAAATTTCTTTGCACTAAATTATGCCCGAGAAACCACATCTAAATTTATTGAAACTGAAACTCTCATCGTGTTAAGCAATATCCATTGATATTTTCTAAATCTGTTTTACTTCTCGGGATAACGTTTAAAAATCTGCGTTGCAAAACGTTATTTATGTTAGGATATAAATACATTAGATGCAAAGAAGAGAGAGAGAGAGAGAGAGAAAAAGAAACGCATACTACATAAACAGAGAGTACTGACGTAAAACGATGTATCATGCAGAATAACGAATTGGATCATAACTATAAATATTTTAAGAAAATATCCATGTGTGTGTGTGTGTGTGTGTGTGTGTGTGTGTGTGTGTTAGAAATTCCAGGATTATTAATAGTGTTTTGCAGATTGTAATATCGCTATATATATAACTAAACATTAAAAATTGTACTTACAAGCTACATTGATTATAATATATTTGACATACTTTCAGATTATTCATTTCCTTCTATGAATAACATTAATTGTTACATTAATTGTTTTTTTTTCATAAATAAGAAAACAAATTATGTTCATATCTTATTAATATCAAATGTGTATACAAAATATAAAAAAACGTACATATATTTTTTTCATTAGAGTTATAACAGAATCGGATCACGATTAATCATTAAAATAGAAACAGAATAAAAAATGACAGCTTTCAAAGAAGAACATACCGGCATTTTGTTGCTATGTCGTTTCTTCGACGGCGATGATAGCTTTCCCGGATAGCGTGACTTTGAAACTTTGAGTAGAAACTAAATCGGACGCTGCGCGTCGCGACGCTATATGGCGTCATCCCCTCCGCCGTATCCTTCCTGCCGATATTCAAGCAACGAATGCTTTTGGCCCGCTGCCTAGTTTTTGGATGGGTATTCCCACACCCCCGCTCGTAACCAGATCTTGACACCGCGGCCCTATTTACAGGACGCGTTGTGGTTCTAAATTAAATTACAATTCGCATTCAGACAAACCGATTGCAGGGAAACCATCTGACATTGCCAATGAAATACTTGACGCTATATTTTATACATGAAGTGTAAAAGCGAAACGAAAACAAAATAATAATATAAACGATAATTTTCTGATAAGAACAAATATAAGAAATAATGATTGACGATTGTGTGAAAACTGCTTAAATAATTTTATTTATATATTATATACTATATATTGCACGAAAATATCATATATAAAATTTGTTGCAAATATTAATAAGCGCATTAATAAGAGGTATTAAAAAAAAAACTGTTTTTAATAGAATTGTTTTGGTCTTACATGTCAGTCACAGAAAGTTTCCTTACTGACATGCAGCTGCGTAGCATCTGATGTTGCAATCTATTTTTAGCACTTGTGTACATTATATGTACTTTATGAAAATCTTTAAACTTCCGATTTATTAAGCATTCGCGATTTAATTTAAAAACTATCTAAACCGCAAATATTTTAGTTCAATGATCTACTTCTCTACAAGGTTTATAACCGGTACTTAATTTAGATCATACATTAGCTGTGAGATTTATTTTTGTGCTAAAGGATTTCATTTTCAAGGATATTTATTCTAATTATTAATTATATAGTTAGCATTATATTGTATAGATCCTGACTAAATATGTTAAAACCTGAGTAGAGACGTATACATGAAAATTTAATATTAATTAATTGCTGGAAGAATCATATTCAATTATAATAATTCTTTTTGAATCGTGAATCTATATATAAATAAAAGAAAATAAAATAGAAAATAAATAAATAAGAAAAATTAGTGCAATATAATAAAAAGAATAATATCGTATCATGCATTATAATCGTGAATTACAACTGCTATGCATACGAAAAACGATAAACCGATAAAAAAAGTAGAAACAAGTGGGTGTATTTTGCGCAAAAATACGGTTCGACGTGCGTGGATATTCGCCAGATGAAAACGCTGATACGTAAACGTCATAATTTCTGGACTCTGGCCACTTCGAAGGGTGAAGCCACCGCCGAGTTTAGATTTTATCAATCGTTGCTATTTCCAAGTTTATCCTAACACAACGGATCTGCGTAGACGTCTGGAACAATTTTGTGATGCGTTCGTTCGAATTACGTAACAAAACATGGTTTAATAAATGGCACATCATCGATAATCTCTTTAAAAAATATTACGATTTGTTGAAATGTTTTGTAATATATGTGTTTTTAAAAATCTTTCAACATTGACGTGAACAAATATCCGACATAGCAGACTGAAAAAAACTGCGAAAAAGAATTTTAGATATCTCTTATTGACATTTATGAAATAAAGATGTAAATTGTATGTTATAAATTATTATTATTTAATTTAATAATACAGTAATTATTACATGTGATCACACACTACAATTAAAATAATTGAGCACATTGCGTTAGATTTATTTTTCACTTACAATTAGTCAATATTAAAATTAAAGTATATCTAATGCTATTTATTAAAGTTCAACTAATTTAGGTGTGCAAATGGCAGGCAGTTCGCATCAAAACTGTCATTGATTGTGTGTAATATTGTTAATATAATTATAAATGCGTTTAAATAATAATATTTAAGTAATAATAATATTCATTGATCTATTTAACTTTAATTGCATTTATTATTACGTGCCAATTTGTTGAAAATGTAACAATATAATTTTATTAGCATTATGTTGTTACTATTAAAAATTATCTTTATGTTATTTAATTCGACAATTAAAATATCAACGTATTTTATAGAAAATATTTTATGCATTTTAAAAAATTATATCACATAGCAATATGTGGAATATCTAAAAAAGAAATGGTAAGAGATATAACCATATCGCGAACGCTGACACTGTGTCGGGCATGTGCTTCCTCGAGCGCGCACCTCCTGCCGTCATGCTCTCCTGTTCAGATATATTTTCTTACAAATATCCGGCTAGTCTATCATTTAAATTATCCGTTAATAATGTCAAATTTTATTCATCTTGTGACAGCGCATCGAAGTCACGTGTTTCCGATGTGCGCCACAAAGCCTCTATCACCTGCTTCATCTCGGCTGCTCTTTAGTTTGTGAAACGGACGCTACGTGGAGCTAATATAGAAAGCTTTCTCGCGATTAAAATTCCTCTTGACTAGTATGAATACCGGTGCGGCTGACTGTCTCGTCATCTTTGCGCAGTGGCGATATCGTAACCAATGAGGTTCTACCGAGGTGCGATTATTGCTAGTTGAAAACTTTTACCAATACCCCGCCATGACGATGTGAAATACCATCGGCTACGGCAATTTTTGAAAGTTTCTGCGGAAACTGATAATTTAATACAAACATAAAATAATTCTCAAAAGAGGACGAAGGAAAAGCTATTTGTTTCCTTTATTTTCTTTTCTCTTTCATATTTTATATATACATATATATAATGACATAAAATATCTTTATTAGGTTATTATTCTTTTCGGAGTAGTTATATACGCGCACGAGAATATGAATTTTCATTATAAACAATTACTTACTTATTAGAAAGGCTACATTTTTTTATTTTGTAATAATTATAAGTAAATCATTTATTAGTAAAAGAAGAAAGGAATTGGCACTTTATATTTCTTCAAAAATTATTTTTTTCCTTAAAATATATATATTTTTGTTTACTAAAGATATAAAATTAGATTTCCTGGCTAAAATTAAATGTCTACATGAGAAAAATGTAAAATAAACAACATTTATCATTCTGTCTTTATGGTTGCCAAGCATCACTGAGCTGTTATTTTCTTTTAAGTTGTTTAGAAGAATGCAGTTGGATAGCATATGTCATCTTTATGACTAGAGAATGAAAACTTTTAACGTGACATGCTTTTTTTTAAAGAGATTTACAGCCTCTTCTTTTAATCGCAGGTTGCTGGCAAGCGCGAAGCAAGCCAGGAAGCAGAAGCTCAACAATGGATCGAGATTGTAATCGGCGAAAGATTTCCACCAGGTAAATTTCTAAAACAAATTAATTAAAATAATATTTTATCGTTTAAATTCCACATGCAATTAATATACTTCGCTTAACTATTTTAAGAAATTACAAAATTTTTATAACGTATCGTCCTACTTTTGACAATAAATGAAAAACATTGAACATATATAATTTAAAATTATTTAATATGAAATTAATATGTAAAGAAATGACTTATTCTCATTATTTGAAAAAAATTAAAATAAAAGTGTCGAACTGTTTATTGCGAACTTTATAAAATATCATCACATGTTTTAGCTAAAGATATGTCTTAGCTCTTTTTTATAAATTCTAATGTATATAAGTAAGGATATCAGAACATCCATTTCTGTATGGGGACAGAATTATTACTGTACTATATTCTATATCGATCAGAAAAAATCTTATTCGGATATAAAATCCTAATATGTGAGAGCAGCTGAAAACTTGCAAGCTTAATAATCCTTGCATCTTAATTTACTTGAGAAATATTTGTCTAGTATTTATATGTATTTACGTCGTTCTATTTCACATATTTAAATATATAATTTACAAGTTTCTTATAAAATAAATAGATATATAACTTCAAAGATATTATATTTATATTATAATTATATTTATATATGTATAAGAACGAATGATGGACGAATCAGCTCTGTATATTTGTTTCTTTAGAGTGTTATAAAAATGAATAGCTCGTTTTTTAAATGCTTCTTTTAATATATAAACATTTTTCAAAATACTTTACATTTAAAAATAATCAATGTAAATATTTAGTCTCTTTAAATAGCTATAATAGCTATGCACTTAATGATGCTACGAACATATATGAGCTCCTGTTCCGCGGAGGTGATACGAGTCCGAAAGCGTTCCGACGTTTTCACCCCTATTGGGGCGACGTTGAACCAAAGGGGTGGAAAAGCGCGTGCTGTTATCTAACTAGAATCGCATAATTGCCGGATACAAATGTCAGGTCGCGTGACGTCGCAAAGGTTAAGTTTCGTCGAGGTCAGTTTTCCCATATAGAACACACATTATTTGATGCATCGTATGTATCGTAATAACAAGTATATATGTATAAACGTTATATCAAATAATATTTATTTTAAACATTTGCATATTTATAAAATGCTGGAGAATCAGATATTAACATTTAAATTTATGTCTGACTGTTATAAATTAAATCGTCGAAGCTACTTGCAAAAATAGACATCTTTCGTGTAAATACAAATATGGGAGATGTAAATATAATTTATACATATACATAGATATATAACGTTATTCTTCCAAGACTTGTTGATAGAAGTATAATTGCCAATGAGTTTCCAGCGAGAAAATTATATTCCGAATAAAAGTTAATAATATAAATAAAATTAGAAATGAAATGGGGTGTCAAGAAACTTTTAAGGGATCACTCTCTCTGAACTCTGTCCCTGAACTACTAGGGGTAGTTCTGCCTCCTGTTGCATTCTACTCCCCTGGCAAAACGCGCGCTTTGTTACGTCATTGCGAGCCACCCTATCGAGCCTGTCTCGGTGAACAACCCTCGATTCGACATACATCCCTGATGTGACAAACACGCCAGGCGTCGACGCAATCGACGTTGCTTCACGTACGTTTGCGCGGCACGTTGTTTTTACTACTTGTTCCAGCTCGTTATGAATACTCTGAATAAAATCGACATGGAGATCGAAGGAGTCGTATATCATAAAATCTCATTTAATAATTATATTATTCTTAAATGTCTTATATATTATGTGTAATAAATTTAATTATCAATTTTTAAAAAGTGAAATGCTGCTCTTAAAACGTAACTAATAAAGTAGAAATATATCACGAATTTGTTATTTATTTTTTAAAAAAGTTTTTATATCTGAAATTATATTAATCATTTTTAATATAATCTTAATATTGACTTTAAATAAATAAATGACCTATTTATTTATTAAAAAAACACAAATAATCAGCATAAAATAAGATAGTTGATAAAGTTCAATATATGTAATAAAAATATTACGCAATTTAACTGACTCTTTTGATACAATGATTGTCAATAGCAGCATCTCTTATCAGTTAAGATTAAATATTGCTTCTGAAATAATAATATAAATAAGAAAAAAATATATTATGTTTCTAAATATGTAATACAGATATTTAAAACAAATATTTAATACAGAATTTTATTGACAAGTTTAATAAATTTTTAATGTTTGAATTCGATAGTTCTTGCTGATTCGGTCATTCGCAAGAGCCCGTCACGCATATCTGGTCACCGAAAATATGAACCTCCTTTTCGTCGCATTCGCTAAGATCTATAGAAGGAACTCGTGACATATTCAATAACATTGATTATGACAAGTGTTTAGATTTAACGATCCTCCATCCATGACTGTCATCCTGGTTGTGTCGAGGACGCAATGGAGGTGGCCAAACGACGAAACCACCCCCACTCGAGCACATGATTAATCCCCACTAGAAACCTTCGATACCTACGACAATCTAAGTGGGGATCTCCTCGGCACGCAAGAAAGCTCTCTTAAGCGAGTGACAACCTGGTCCCCGCGAACCTTGAGCGTACCTGTCGGAAACAGGCAGAATCCAACGTGTTTATAAAGAAAGTCAATCTCGATAATACCGAACGTAATAGAGAAAATTCTATAATACAATTGAGATGAGAGCCTAAATAAGCTTAAATAAATTTCTTATCAAGAGTAATGTAATTTTTTTGTACGCGTTTATTTTTTTTATATTCTTAAAAAAATATTTTGCTGTTTCACTTTCTTCCTGCTACTCTGGTAATTTGAGAACAAATTCTGTATTCATCTTCAGCTTCGCCGGTACTTACGCGGTGAATCTAAGGGTGATCTAGATTACAATATATGTCACGTAGAGCATGCTCAAGCTCTATGCGAGGATGCGAGCCGGATAGTCGAAGCTTTTGATGTTATTGACTCGTTTAAAATTGAACTTAAACGGTCGAGATTCAATTATGCTCCTCCTGTCGCGTCCTGACCTGACCTACCCTAGACACTGGGATCCTGATGCTCGCATAACGTGAATTTGATGGGAATTTCGAGGTATCCCGCAGAACTTCCAAATACGGATGGTAGCCTGCTCCCGGAAGCTCGCGAGGCATGCTTGGCACGACCCTTGTTTGACAGGTCTCAATTGTGAAATATTGCATTAATGTTTCCACGTGTCGCCGATAGTTTCGGATACGATTGATTGGGTGATACGTATTCCAGGAAAAATTAAATTATACTTTTGAGTTAAAAAACGTAGATGGATATTGCATTTCTTATATTCAAATATACTTAATAACTAAAAATTTTTTAGAGAATTATCACACACACAAGTGTAAAGTAATTATGAAGTTTTTGTCATTTTGATTGTGTTACAGTCAATACGTGATATAATTCTAATATTATATTTCCATTATACAATAAAGATGCATTTTTATATATACATATAATTACTATATACAAATAAATTTTTAAGTTTGTATTGAAATTATTTATGAAGAAAATATTGACATTAATTAAATTTATATCACCAGAAATGTGATCATAAGCAGTGTGCACTTTTTCCTGCTGTCAAAGTCTATAATGTATAAAAATTTAATATGCTAATTTCAATGTAAGCATTAAATATTAAACATATTTCACACATAAACATACACACACACACATATAATACAATCAATTTATTAATCATTTCATATGATTAATATTTATTTTGTTTTATGGAAGAATGAATATTCCGAAGAAATGATTATGCTAATCGAAGTAAAGTTTGTGTTATTGATAAAATATTTAAGACATACAAAGACGTGTTACTTTTACCGAACATTAGAACTGACCAAGTCGACGACGGGTATTGATTTACCGTCATCTGTTCATCATGTTACGTCGTAAGGACGCTGGCATACCAGGGCCACATACAGTACTCCGGATGGTCGTGCTTCTAGTGCTGCTAGTTACATATATCACCTTCGCACTTCTTTCATCTCTTCACCCTGCTTTTACATATTTTCGCCTACAATTATTATCGTTTGTTGCGGATACTTTGATCAAGCAGCGTTCATAATAAGTGACTATAATTTCGATGAGCAATTTCGTTCACATTTCTTTTGATTATAAAATTTCACATTTTATATTGACATTTTTTATAATAATTTTGTTAATTTAAACGTTAACGATTTTGAGCCGGGTATGGCTTATTTTTCGTATCAAAAGAATTATATTAAAGTTATACGATATAATTTATGTCTTTTTGATTGCTTATGTAACTGAATCGTATTATACGCAAAAATGAGTTATACATATAACTATATAAAATAAAATACATATACATGTTCTTTGCATTTTGAATTTAATTTATAGATTGTTATATTTATGTATTTTTAAATTGTTATTTAAATTGTTATGTTAAATTAACTCATTGTTGCATAATGCTCCAGCTCAACACTGTCATCTTTTTTTGAATAATCACAGAGCGATTTATATCAATATGTGAATGCTGCTTAATGTCTTGAAAATTTGCTTCTGAAACAGAAGAAACGTCAGTCATCTGTCCGTCACGGTGGCGCAAGTCGTTTGGGTGCACCAGGGCATCAGCAGACGTTTGAGGGATTTATAGGGTGTCCCGCCGACACGTCGACGGATCGATTCGTTAAATTACGACCCTACAGTCGCGTTCCCCTCATCCATCCGGCCTTGTTCATTACCCCATCTCTTGAATCGGATACGCTCATTGAGCATTATCGAGCACGTGTTCTGTCGATACGTCGATGGTCTCGTCATGTGACACAGCGTGACGTCACGAAAGCTCGCACCTACTAGGAAAGCAACGTCGGGCAGTAGATGAATTTATGGAGACGACTACATTGTGTTCCATCCCGCGCGGAGGATCCTGGTAAGCTCCTGTCACGCTCGTCGTGAGGACCCGCTCGCGATATGACTCGCCGATGTGTAAGAAGAATTTCTTCGATACGAAAG